TCTCTCTCTCTCTCTCACACAGATACAATAAGCTAACCAAGTTTGTTTATGTGCACCCATGCACACACACAAATACCATAAGAGCATTTTAACATTATGAACTTTACTAAATAAACCCAATCAAGACATGATTACCTATCTAAAAAGAAAACATTTTAAAAACAACATCATTGATGGCATATTTGGAGATCTTTTATCTTCTTTTAAGAATGAACATTAGTGCTTCAACCTAGCAAGCTGTGGATGAAAATAAAACCAAGTATGAAATTTCAAAAGAAAAATGAGTATGCAGTAAAACAGATCTCATTAGGCATTGGAATAGGAGTTAGCAAAGCAGCTGAAGATCACATGAACTCTGGTGAACCTGGCCCTCCCCTGGACCACACCTATATGCATAAACACACTCCACCAGCAGTTTATCAACAAGATCAGGCCCCCAACTGACAATTTGCCTGGAATCTTTGTATCATGTGAAGGCTATTCCTGTATTTTAGGATCTGAAAGCTTTTTACAAAGTTACCATCTCTGGGTAACCAACCAATGTTAAGTTAATCATCTGAGCTGATAGACAGATAAGGTATTATCCTCCTAATCCCAAACATATTCACGAAAGAATAAATGAAATCAATCATTGTTTCTCTTGGCATTAGAATCACAAATTTCAGGTCAATTGATTCTAACTTTGCTTTTCAAACATTAAGTTTAGACGGTTTCTGGGGAATCATCTTTTTTTTCCTACCTTATTTTTTAAAAGTTTTTAGAGAGGGCTGGGATGTAGCTCGGTGGTACAGCGCTTGCCTAGCATGCGTGAGGCCCTGGGTTCGATCCCAGCACCAAAAAAGAAAAGACAAAAAAAAAAAAAACCTCTCCCCCTAAAAGTTTTTAGAGAGTTGAAAATTGACAACACACCTATCTTTTAATATGTTAGCCATATGGAACTATATTATGCTATTTATTTATTGTCTCAATTTGTAGCCCAGGTTGCAAACTTGCAATCTTCCTGCCTCTTCTTTCTAGGTGCTGGGATTACAAATACGACACCACACAGCTCTGAATTCTAATTTTTTAAATGCTTATATGAAGGATTTTTAAATAATATTGACAGCAATAAAAGATATGGCCAATATTGAAATGAAAATTTTGCTATTGACTGTCAAACAGAAGATGGGCTTTGTTATAGGTTTTCATTTTGTAAGATGAAAGAAAAGATATGGTGGCTAAGGTATATTTTTTTTCCACAAAGAAAAAAACAGTTTTAAAATATTTACAAACAAGGAGAAATCTGAACAATTTTTCCAGTAACATGGGTCAATGTAAATTAGGTTATTTATTCATGTGCTGAACAAATATTTGAGTGCCTGCAAGGTGCAAAGCCATGGAATCTCATGACAAATTAGTTTATCCTACTTATTTGGACACTTATTTCCAATTATATATATAATTTATAAAATACATTTTGGGTTAAATATTTGAATATATTAAATACTATTTACATTATATGTGAGTGTAGCACTCACTATTTTTTTAACAGACTATTTTTAGCATAGTTTTATGTTCACAGAAAACCTGAGCAGGAAATACAGCATTCCATGTACCCCTACATTTCCCCTCAGCCTCCTTCATTGTCAGAGTGGCTATTTGTTACAATTGATGAACTTACATTAACACATCATTTATCACCTAAAGTCTACAGATTACTTAGGAGTCACTCTTGGTGTACTTTCTATGGGGTTTAGCACATATATGGCATGTATCCGCCTCACAGGATCACAGTTTCACTGCCCTAAAAAATCTTCCATGAGATCCATCTATCTGTTCTGCCCTTTGGCAGCCACTGATATATTTATGTTGGTACTGGAGTTTGAACTCAGGGCCTCACACTTGCTAAGCAGGCACTCTTACTGCTTGAGACCCTCCATCAGCCCTTTTTTGTGTTGGTTATTTTCAAGATACAGTCTCAAGAACAATTTGTCCCCATTGGCTTTGACTTGTGATCCTTCTGCTCTCTGCCTCCTGAGTATCTAGGATTACAGGTGTGAGCTACCAGCGCCTAGCTCACCACTGATATTTCATACTGTCCATATGTCTGATGTTTCCAAAGTATCACATAATTGAAATCATACAGTATGTAGATTTTTCAAATTGGCTTCTTTTAGAAATCTCATGGAAGGGTCTCAATCTTAGACGTAAAGAATGCCAATTATTATATGGGAACTGGTGTCTCTTGTCTATAATCTCTACTTGGGAGACTGAAGCTAGCCTGGGGAAATAGTGCATGAGACCTCCAACTCCAAAATAACCAGAGCAAAATGGACTGGCTCAAGAGGTAAAGTGCCTGCTTTGCAAGCACAAAGCCCTGAGTTCTAACCCCAGTCCCACCACAAAAAAAAAAAAAAAATCCCAATCATTAAGAATATGATAAATTCAAAAAAGTAACATGAACATATAAGTATAGGTATTTAGGGCAAAACAGAACTAGGAGTGTCAACTGATCAAGATTCAATTGTTTTGTTCTCTAAATGCCTCTTGTATCTGTGTTCTCCTAGCCTTTTGTTCTTTTCTGGGATGTTAAAACAATACAATTTTCATCTCAGTTACAGTTAGAATCAGCTATAATTAAATAATTTTGGTTTGGGTTTGGTTCAAACCAAAAATATGTCAACTGCTTGGTTTGAAGTAGACATTTTGAATTATTGTCTCATTCAGGTTTTATAAACTATTTACAGTCATTAAATAAGTCAAATTTGGGGTTTGTTTGCTCCTTAAAATTTTAATATAGGAATTCTAACATATACCAAACATTGCCAGATCTTCAACATCCACAGTGTGTTGTCAACACTAGAAAAAAAATCAGAATTGGTTGAATTGTGTTTCTAAAAGAGAGGAAGAGGACTGGGGAAAGAGAAAGGACAGAGGAGGGAGAGAGAAGGAGGAAGAAGAGGAGGAGGAGGAGAAGGAAAAAGCAGCCCAAAGTGAGCTAGCTAAGCAATCAGGGTCTTGGCTCGCCTCCTGTACTGCCTCATTCCACAGGAGAAATTTAGACTCTGGAAAGTGCATTATGTATAAAATATTAGATTTCACTTTCTAATGCTGTTGTTTTAAAACCAGGTTTGGCTTTAATTTAACTAGGGTGAAGTATACCTATTGATGATACCCAATTACAGCAATTCTGTTACCTCTTAAAAACGTCTACTTTCCACTTTCTTTGGCCTCATTTTTTTGTGTTTTTGATCATCCTGTATGAAATCCTTTGTTCTAAGGTTCCAGAAAAAATTTTGGGAAAATGCAGAATATGACAAAATGGATAAAATTGAGCAATTGATATAGTCATCATTGTAAGGGGGCATTAATTATAAGCTGCAGCATTATTTTATATCTAAGATGCATAGTAGTAAAAAAAAAATGCAGCCAACTATTTGTAAGACACCATTGACTGAGATGCAGTCCCATTCCAGAAATGTTAAAATGTGTTTTGTAAAAAGTGTCTTAGATTTGTTTCAATTCACTACAATAGTGACACTTTAAAATTTGTGATGTTATGTCAATATTAGCATTCTATCCTGCTATAACTTTATCAACAATGGGAATTTAATTTCTAATCACTGTTCTTTCTACTACTTTTACAGCAGCAGAAGAAAAGACGTCATCAATCCAGGGTTGGTTCTCAGTATAGACCTTAAACTTTTTCCTAACTGTGGTTTATCATTTAAATCATGGCTTTCGGGGTTACCTCAATCATTATCAGCTACAATAAATAGCCATAATAAAATAAACAACTTCTTTGCGAAACTGAATTCACTTCTGAAATCTCAAGGGAGGTCATGGATTATTTAAAAGGAAATAACTTGAAATAATAAACACTGTTTAAATATGAAACAACCGAACAACAATATAAACTCACCCAGGCTAAAGAAACAAACGGAAGCATCAGTTACTAGCATCTCAGACTGATGCAAAATGAGTATAAATACTGTTACTTTTTTTTTTTTTTGGTGGTACTGGATGGAGTTTGAACTTCTACTCTTCTTTTTGAGACTGGGTTTCTTTATTTGCCCCAGGCTGGTCTGGAACTCCTGTACTCACGTTCAAGTAATCCTCCTGCCTCAGCTTCCTGAATAGGTGGGAATACAGAAGTTGCTGGGACTACAGGAAAGTACTATGGAAACTCTTCTTTCCACCTTAGGTGTTGTCCACATTTTTTCTACTTAGCCACATTTTAACAATGTCTTAAAAAGTGAAACTAACTTTATAATTGATTTAACCCAATAAATACAACATTTATCATTTCAGCATGTCATTATAAGACTTATTAAGGAGACGATCTTCGACATCCGTGGTGTGTTGTCAACACCAACAGCGCATCTCCATTGCAGCTAGCTGTATTTCAAGCGCTCTCTTAGTCACAATGTAGCCACGGTGATGGACAGCCCAATGCTGGGGGGAATCTCAGCACCAACCGATTCTTAGATTCTGAGTTTGAGAATTTCTTTTACACTACACACTGTCTCTAAGGTGCACAGAGATCTGCGAGGCACAAGGGTCCCTTTTGATCCAGGATTGCGCAGCCCTGTTCAGTTTGGGGGAAAGGCGTGTGGGAAGCCCCGGCAGCCAGGGAACGTAGCCTGAAGCAGGGCCTAGCCGCTCCGACAGCCAGGCCGGGTGGGGGGTACTGCAGACACACACAGCGTTGCAAGTCGGATTTTGAGACCAGCTTGGGAAGCTGCCGCTGTCCTTTTCTGCGGAGCCCGGGAGTCGAGCCAGAGACGGGTAGAGCGTACTTCCGAGCATGCGTCCTGCTCGGGCTGCGCGTCCGTGGCGCCTCGGTGGCTAAGTGGGCTAGCAGTCGGAAGTCCCGGAGCCCACCCCAAGCCCAGCAGCAGCCGCCCCGGGGCGCGCTCTCGCCGGCGACGCAGCGGGCGCGCGGGCGGCGGGGTGGGCGGGGATCGGCAATGGCCCCGCCCCTCTGAGGGGCGGGAACCGCGGTTCCGGGGGGCGGGGGTGCGCCGCGCCGACGAGTCTGGGCGCCAGCTGCAGGTTTCGATTAGTGCGCGGAGCTGCGGCAACAGAGCAGGACAGTGGACTTGCACCGCCCAAAGCCCGGCGGCAGGGAGGCAGGGGCGGCGGCGGGGCGCACGGGCCGGCCTGTGGCCGCCGAGGGTTGGAGACTCGAGCCGGAGCGTGGGGCAGAGGCCGCCCAGACCACGGAGCCCGGCCACCGCAGCGCCCGCAGCCGCGAGCGCGCCGAGGACCCGCGCGCCGGCGAGGGCGCGCCAGCGGGGGCGCGCAGGCCCTGCCCGCCCCTTCCGTCCCCACCCCCTCCGCCCCTTCCTCTCCCCACCTTCCTCTCGCTTCCCGCGCCCCCGCACCGGGCGCCCACCCTGTTCTCCTGCGGCGGGAGCGCTGTCCGCGGCGGCGGCTGGAGCGGGCCGGGCCGGGCCGGCGGGCCGGGGGATGGCGCTGCTGGACCTGGCCCTGGAGGGAATGGCCGTGTTCGGGTTCATCCTCTTCTTGGTGCTGTGGCTGATGCATTTCATGGCCATCATCTACACGTGAGTGAGGGGCAGCCGGAGGAGCTGGTGGGTGACGAGGGGCCAAGCCTCGGGGACAGGCGAGGCTGGAAGGCGTTTGCGCTTTGGAGGGGACAGGGCTCGGGTAGGGGTGAAAGAAGCAAATTCTCTGTCCCCTCCATCTCCTCTCTCCTTGGACCGCTGGGGTCGGGGATCCTTGGGAGGGAAAAGTGACCGGTGAAGGGGCTGCTGGGATGCAGGCTACTGCAAAGCCAGGGGAGAGGTGACCGCTACTACGTGTCAGCCGGAAGGTTGCTTGCTCGGTCTGATTGTGTTGGGGATTCGTGTGGTTTTTCATCTGGGCCAAGATGTACGGCGTATTTCTCTCTCTCTCTCTCTCTCCCTCTCTCTCTCTCTCCCTCTCTCTCTCTCTCTCTCTTTCTCTCTCTCTCTCTCTCTTTCTCTCTCTCTCTCTCTCTTTCTCTCTCTTTCTCTCTCCCTCCCTCTCTTCTCTTCAGTCTCTCTCTCTCTCTCTGTGATGATTATTTCCACTCTGCTGGCAGCTGCTTACCAGCTACCTGGGGACCTCCCTGTGGATTTTGTTCCTGGAAGAGCTGTGTGCGCTTAGGTGTGGAGCACCTGTCCACCTTGAAAAATAACCAGCAAACCTCCGAGCTTGCGTTATAGCTTCGAGTCCTGTTAGGGTGCATATTTCAGGATGGTTGCTTTCTTCCTTTCTTCTTTTTTTCTCTTCATTTATTGCCTTGTTTAGATTTGTCCCCTTCCCCTGCCCTCCACATCTTTCATCATTTAGGAGATAGTTCTTGAGGCCTACTGGATACTACTCACCACGGTTCTTGTGCTGGGGGCACAGTGGTGAGCAGGACAGAATTTATGTCTTCATGGAGCTTTCATTCTAGAAGGAAGAAACATAACAAAAATCCAAGTAAAGATATTCCAGATAAAGCCTGGGAATAAAATAGAACAGGGTGAGAGGAAAAAAAGAGACATGAGCCATGTAGCTAGTTTTGATACTTCAATTAAATGTCTTTAAAATGAAGGCTGTGTAAATAAATGAAAGAATTGTGTAGAGAGCATTACCGATATGGATTCACTTGACTTTTTAGCCAGCAAAAAATAATAAGAAAAAACGATTTTTACCACCAAGCAGAGTCAGGAGTATATTATTAGTAGAGAAGAGGGGAGAACTTTAAGAAATTAGTTACTTTTAGGGTTTTTTGTTTGTTTTCTTTTTACTACAGAACAAGTGTGCTTTTTGTTATTGCTGTTTTGTTTTTATTAATACAGTATGGCATTCCCTAATACTGAAAATGTGCCACTTCAATATTGTTGGTTTTAGCTTTTGGAGTTTTTGAGTTGTAGTCACTGGACACATTCTGGAGATCATTTTAAATATTATGGGTTCTTAAAAAAAAAGAATGCTTACTATATAAGGAATTTAGACAATCCAGAGTGGAATAAAAAATTATAACACACATACCAAAGCAGCATTACATTGTGAACCTTTTGTGACAATCCTTCCAACTGTATTTCTTTGGGGCGGGAAGGGAAGAGGAGAGAAAGCCACCCTATTATGATTATTCTGTAGCTTCCTTAAAATTCATGTATTTAATAAATTGTTCCTGAGAAGCAGTTTTATATAGGGCACTGTGCTAGGTACTAGAAGAAGTAAGAGTGAGGAGCAAAACATCCAAGCCTGCTGCATACACAGAGCTGCCATGTAAAATGTCATCACCATTTTTTTTACATCAATATATGTATGAACTTCATCATTTTAAATGCATAACATTTTAGCTGATGAAGTACTATTATGTGTTATTATGATAGACATTTGGGTTTTTTCCAGTTCATCAAACATCTCAGTGAGGATTTAATTTTTATTAAGTTTTTCAGTACCCAGGCGATGGAGCCCTGGGCCTACTGCATGCTAGGCAAGTGCTTTATCACTGAGCTACATTCTTATCCCCTATGATGAATTCTTCAAAATGCATCTCCTGAGTTTACATTTCTGGAAGAGGAATTATTAGATACAATATTGCCCTATAAAAATACTACATGCATTCATAGTCCTGGTAACATTGTTTGCTGGTCCCCATTTCCCCTACTTGCATCAGGCTTTTCATTCATTTAATTACAAGCTCCATTGAACACTTTTATTTATGTGGTAGTTACATTTAGTTGTAAATTACATGCTCATAATCTTTTGCCTGTACTGCAGTCTATTGCTGAGTTCATCTATTTTTGTTATGAGTGTAATTCTTCTGTTACCTGTATGTATTGCAATTGTTTTTTTGTGGTACTGGAGTTTGAACTCAGGGTCTTGCACTTGCTAGGCAGGCACTTTACCCGTGTGCTGTAATTTTTTCCCAGCCTGTTTTATTGTCTTTCAACTTCACACATATTTAACATTAAATGTGTGTGTGTGTGTGTGTGTGTGTGTGTGTATGTGTGTGTGTGTACACTGGCTTCGAACTGACTGCCTCCTGAATAGCTAGGATTACAGGCGTTAGCCACCCGGTGCCCGACAATATATGTGTGTTGTAGGTACACAATTACAACACAAGTCTTTTTTTTTCTTTTTTGATGTCGGACTTTGGTGTAATATTTTTTTTTATCCTCCTCATTCCCAATTACTGTATGTGTTAGTCTGTTTCCTTTTAGTTTTGGGAGTTTTCTTTCTTAACTTTTTTTTTCTCGCATATTACTCTGTAATTCACCCAGTATCTTACTCTGAAATATGATGAGATTTAGGGCTCTAATTTTAGCTTTATTTAAATATTTAGCCACTTATCCCCAAATCATTTATCACATGACTATTTGGTTTTTCCATAGTTTTGAAAATACTGTCTTTATCATAGACTAAGTTCTGCTTTGTACTTGGGTGTTTCATACCTTCCAGTGCATTTTTGTACATCTATTAGTTTTTACACTATATCTACTAGTTCTTTTCCTGACCAATGGAATTTTATTATCTGGTGAGGCAAACCTCTCATTCTTTTGCAGATTTTTTTTTACTTTTTAACACATTTTTACTTAGAGATGGACTTTAGAATCTTTGTTTTAGAGTTTTAAGTAATTTTGGTTAAAATTAAGTTTATAGCTGGATTTGGGGAGAAAAGCAACTTCTTTCCACATGGCACCATAATGTACCACCCTCCACCAATAGGTATACAAAATACTAAATGTGACACTTATTTGTTTAAAATTAACATTATTGTTATGTTCTAATCTTTCAAATAACCATCTGGAAATGTTTGCAGTCTTAAAGTTGAGTCAACTTCAGAATTGTTTTATTTCTTGTGCTTAATGATAGCAGCAAACATTTTTCTTAAAAGAGTTTAGGCTTTTGAGAATAGTGAAAACTTTTAGATTAGTTGAGATACTGTAGAGAGACTGCATATTTATTTTCTAATGCTCCACAACAATACCATTTTTATTGACAGTAACAGGTTCCTGAAAAGTTACACCACGAGAATCAATGAAGAAGGGCTGGCCTAGTGACTCAAGTGGCAGGGTGACTACACTAGTGACCACCTAGTGACTCAAGTGGTAGAGTGCCTGCCTAGAGGCCCTGAGTTCAAACTCCAGTCCTGACAAAAAAAAAAAAAAAAAAAACCCAAAAAAACAATTAGTTTATAATAGGTTAGACTGATTTGCTAAATATAGAAAACTTGTGAGTACTTTTTTGAAATGGATAACTGAATATAAAGCAATGAACAGATTAATTTCTGTATAAATTGAATCTTACCCTTTTTTGATAAGTATCTTCTAGTCTACTCCCACCTTCCATCTTTCTTTTTTTTTTTTTTTACACGTATGATTTGATACCTTTCTTACTGAAGTAAAGACACTTCCCAGTTTAATGTAAGAGTCGTTTCCAGGCAGAGAACTATACATTTTTTTTCCTTTCCCTCTCCCTACTTACTTAGTAAAATTGCAGTTGAACCTCAGCACTTAACAGGCAGAGTTAGAGAACTTTGACAACAGTGTTTTGGTTAAAACAATGTGATAAATATCCTATGTGATATTATAAGGGTAAGTTTTCTGAGTACATATTCTATATCCCTGCCAGGCCTTTTTGACATAAGTAAGCAGATACTGATGCTCTCCTTCAGAAACTTGTGCTTGCAGCTGGTGGAAATGGAGCCTATTTTCAAAAACTGCTCTGCATCTGGGTGTCAGATTAAGGAGTGTAATCTGTAGGCTTCTAACTGGTAAAAATGTTCACATAATGATCAATTTTGTAATAAAATGACCGAGAAAAACTAAAGCATTTTGAAAACTGGTTATTTAAAAAACATTAAATACAGTGTGCAATGGCATCTATTGAGTTTGGACTTGATGTCTTACTGTGTCTTCTTACAATTAGATAACCAGCTAAGTATTGACCTGGGGGTGGAGGCGTGAGTAGGGCGCCTGCCTAGCAAACATGAAGCCCTGAGTTCAAACCCCAGTTCCACCAAATAAATAAATTAGAAAAAAATTTAAATGGAAGTCAGGTATGGTGGTACATTCCTGTAATCCTACCACTCAGCAGGTAAGCCAGTTTAGGGTGCATAGAGACTATATAGATACTGTCTCAAAAAAACTAATAAAATAAAAATTGGGCTGAATCTTGTTATACAGTGAGCAACTCTTGCTGAAGAAAGTTATTTTGTTTTGTTTCTGATTTCACAAATGTCTTACAATTTCTATAAGTGTGCCCCCCCAAAAAAGTGATAGCTTATAAGAAACCCTGTATTCCAGTGTTTAGAAACTTACCACTGTTTCTACCATTTTGCTCCTTCTCAATTGTAATATTGAACTGAAGCTTAGTCACTTCATAACGTCTTCTAGGTGGCACGTACTTGGATCAGGAAGGATCTTATTCCCCAGATTTTTAATTTCCTAAAAATAACTGATGATTATAGCTCAGTAGGCAGAGTAAGTTAGGTGATCTTTATGGGTTGTTTGTTTCTTTTTTGTAAGAGTGAGTATGCTTTGATAGTTGGGACTAGGATGAAATCATACAGAAGTCTCAG